GAGACAAACTGTTTTTACGGCATGTAATCCCCCCAGTTGTCTGGCCCAGATTCTGTGTTTCCCGACTACAAGATTCTACTGTTATATAAAGCTCAGATAGGCACAATCCCAGTTTGAATGTTGTCCAAAGCAACTTTTGGTCCTTAATCAATTGCCACAAATTTGAGTATTACACGAAGCACCAAATAACACGTAACCATATGTTTTAGACTGTGCCAAAATCTCACTGAAAATATGCCCTCTTCTAGAACAAGCTTCTAGAAGAAATTAACTACAACAAAAATGAGTCACTTTTCTTCACTATAGGGCTGGTATATTTTCAGGAAGAGTGTGGCAATTCAGTTTATTCTGCTTCCAAAGCAAGTTGTCAACTGTTAAGTTATTTTACTGCCATTTTGGCTGGAGCCAGACACTGACTTTTCTCGACCAGAAATCACTGTTTGCTAAATCCCATTGCCCTCTTCCGCCTGGCTTTTCTTCTTAAATAAGCCAGCACCCGGTATTACAGCTGAGTACCTACTCAGATATAAAATCTTTCATTTGGCTTGGGAAAGAGGACCTATACTTATCTCAAGATTCTCAGCTAACAGGCAATTTCAGCAACACTTAGATGACATTCAGCCAGAAGAGGGTGCTTCATAAAATTGTTGGGTGCCCATACTCCCTAAGAAAGTCTCTGATGAAGCAACAAGTCCATGGCTGTAACGGGTGGGTAAATGTGGAACAGTAGCATCTGCTTTTATTATTATTTTTTAAAATTCAGCAGTGTTTATTGACTGTGGATCAGGATTGTGCCAGGAACGGCCACTTAGAGACAATTAAGACAGTTCCTGTGTCTGAGGCGCTTGTTGTCATGGGCATACGTGAAGAATGGATGGTATAAAATTACAACACGATGACAAATGCTACAGCAGGCCTAAGTTCATAATGAAATGGTATCACGAAGAGGGTGTGAAGAATTGTCAGAGGTGCTCAGGGAAGAGATGAGTTCTGCAGAGCCTGGAACAACAAAAAGGAGTTTTCCAGGAAGACAAAGGTTAGGGAGGGGTGGATGGGAGAAGAGACGAATATTCGAGGCAGGGAAAGTCATCCATGCAAGGACAAAGAGGAGCAAGGAGAGCAGCCAGGGCCCAAGTGGGGGTCGGCAGACAAATATGAACAAGTAGACGAGTGTCAGGTTGGGGCCTGGATGCCAAGCTAAGGAGTTAAGTTCCTATCGGGTGGATCATGGGTGGTGACAGGATTAGATCTGTTTAAGAGAGAGGAGGGCCTGGAGCAGTGAGGTGGCAGGAGGTTATGCTGGGGGGGGGGGAGGTTGGTGAGGGAGTGGCTGTCCCAGAGGCTGATGGGAACAGGGTGGGCCTTCTTGGGGCCCACCAAGCCAGAGATAATCAGGTGCTGCTGGTGCCAGGACCCACAATCTCATTGAGATAAATCCCAGAGCAGTGGTCAGGGGGCCCAGATAAGCCCTTGGCCTTTGGGACCCCTCTCTAGATTATATGCTTCAAACTTTAACACCCAGAGCCACAGCAGGCAGAGTGGGGTTCCTCTGGACCTCCTGAACCCTGGGGCACGAGAGTCAGACAAAGCAGAGCCAAGGACTCTGGCTTGCCTGGGTTTGAATCCTGGTTCTGCCGTCAGTCCTCCTGCTAGACAGGAATGGCACCAGCACCCACCTTGCAGGGCGGGTGTGAGAGTGGAGAGTTAATCCACGGAAAGCGCTTAGAACAGTGCAGAATACAGCAGGCCCTGAGGAACTGCGAGCTCTGTGAAGGACTGAGCAGTTGGTTGACTGTACTACCGAGTTAAAGCTGCTCTAGTGAGAAGGGGGGTGGGGTCAGGCTCCCTTTCCCTGCTCACTCCTTGGAGTAGGCCTTGATGGAACTTTTCTACCAGTTTGAAAATCACTGGGCTCACCATTCCTGGGGTTCATTTCTACATGTATTTCCTGAACCCAGGGAGTTCAAGCAGGGTCAGCCGCTGATGCCAAGCCTGGAATGGTCTCTGGATGGAGTCTCTATTTCTCCAAAGAGGGCAAAGTGTAACGACCTCCCTAAAGGCACCAGAAGGCGAATCCAGCCTAGGTCTGTTCTCCCAGCACTGGAAGCCATGCTCAGGGCCCTGCAGGTGGAGCAGGACAGTGGGATGAATCTCATCCTCAGACACAGATGGGTTTTCCCTGCTGGCTAAGGGCTTACAGAGGGGTTTCCCTGGGGCAGGGGAACACATCTCTCCAACAGAATAGGAAGCTGTCATCTTCCTGCTACGTGAGGTGGCCTGGGATTAAATTCTACCCCATGGGACTGCTACAAAAAATAAACGAGTTAATGTACCTTAAGTACTTAGCACATATTAAGCATGCAATGAATCTTCACTTAGAGCTGTTATTTTTGGTCCATAATCCCAATTCTTCTTACACCTATTAAAGTAGGTGTGGTGTTCAGTGGGTTGAGTGGGTGGGTGTTCAGAGCCCAATAAGTACATAGAACTGCAGTTAATTTTTTTTTTTTTGTCCAAGAAAATTCTCTGTATCTCATAAGTGGGTAGACAAAAGATGTTTCGTACATTATGGCAGACTATATAAATGAGGTGAAAATTAATCCTTTCTAGTTTGGTTCAAGGTCACTGCTGTCCTTTTAAAGCCTACAATTTCTATGCCAGATCCTGCAGGAATTTTAGCAGTTTTTACCAATTTGGCATCCATCCACCATGAGGGAAGGGCTGTGCAGTGGAGGATCTTTTCAGAAAACCCTTACAAATGAGGTTTTATCACAGCATTGCTGACCCCAAAGTAACAGGATAAGGGCAGTTCTGGAAGCAGCCCATAGCTTCCATGAATAAATATTAGCTATTCCATTAGGCAGACCAGTGTACTCTGGGGAGTCACTGGTATCTTATTAAGTTATAAATATATTTAATGGCTTTAGTACTAGTTTCTTATTTTGGAATATGAGGAAGAAAAAAACAGAACTCAATCGCTAAAGTAAAAAGGCACTATTTTTTATAATATGTTATTTACCTACCATAGTGCTTATGAATTACCATATTTATAGGGCTCACACCCCCTCTCAAAGGACAGCTGTAATTCTCCTGTAACTGCATCTAGCCACTTGCAGCGGTACAAAAAAGTGGCAGATTATAAAATTAAATTGTTTGGTTTTGATTGAAACTAGTCAAACCAGTTCAGGAAAAAAACAAAACCAAAAAAACTATGAGACGTCTCTCCGTACTCTCACTCCCCTCTCCTGGTTCCTCGTTAAGGGCAAAAAATGCCACTTGTGCCCATCTTCACTCACTGAACTCTAACTGCAGAACTCAGACCAAGTTTTCTTAAAAAGAACACAAGATAGAGTTGAAAGGGCAGGGTTATCTTTCACTTTCTGCACTGAGAAGATACTTAACAATCATTTGCCAAATAATAGGAGGCATCAAGTTCAAACTTACCTCATTTCCTGTTGCTGAGCTGCTAACTGATCCATTGGCTGTGGATAAATTCCAGAGCTGTGCACCCTCCAACACGGCCAGGCATGGAGACTGTCAGGGAACGCTGCAGCGGTTCAGTGGGAAGCGGTCCCTCAACCGACTCTGAGGAAATCTATGTAAACCGCACAGGTGTCGTACGCTCCATCTGGGTGACACCCGTCACATCCCACTCCGCTTCTGTTCCCAAATACACACGAGCCACTTCATCTTTTCCCTTCTGATGAGACACAATGCTTCTCATCTTCACACCCCAGAGGTCCCGCCCCTGCAGGAGCCCTGCTTCCTAGGAGGGCTGGCTCGCTGGTGACCAGGGGCCTCAGCAGGGTACCCAGGACGGGGGAAGAGTCGGAGTCGGAGGGGTCACCGTGCCACAGGGCCTGAGCCGTTTGCCTTTGGTCAGAATAGGCAGGCCCCACCTCAGAGATAAGCTAGAAACGGTTCTTCTGGACTTGCGCACATAAAAGAAAGGCTCAACTAGCTAAGGCAATCTGTAGCTGCCTTCAAAAGCAGCAACGGGGAGGGGAAAAAACCCTCACAACAAACAGTGGTAACAGAAGGTTTGTGTGGGAAGATGGTTAGGTTTGGTCTAAAACAAGCAGTATCTCTGGTAATGAGCTGTTGTTAGGAAATATGTGGGGCCCCCGTGCCTGCAGCACTTTTAAAGAGCACTGCTGCTGTTTCTTGAGGGGCCTTTTTTTTTGGGGGGGGGTTATGGGGGAAAGGCAAAGTGAGGTGAGGCAGAGAGCATGGAGGCATAGACAGCAGTGGGAAACACCACCTCCTTGTAGTGCAGCTGCCAAGTCCTGCATTTAAATCCCAGGCTCCAGTCCATTGTCGCGGTCCTGCCTTCGGTAACACACCAGCCTTCTCGGAATCACGGCAGGCTCCCGTGTGCCTGCTCACCTGGCAGGCCTAAGGCCTCAGCCAGGGTTCCAGCCCGGAACACACGGCCTACTCAGGTGGGGAGACTGAGGAGAGTTTCATAAAGGGACTATTTACAAAAGGTGTGGGCAGGGTTATGGAACTCCTGGGAGGGCAGTGAAGCCCCGAAACGGGTCAGGACAGGGGTGTGGTTACCAAACCCTTGGGCCCTTGGCACCGTCAACCCAGGCCTGGCAAGAAGCAGCCAGGGGAGTGAATGCCCCAGCTTCTCTGTCCCCTCCTCTGCCAAGCTCCTTCCAGCGTGCCTCTGGTAGACCCTGACCAGGAGCCGGAAGGACACGTCCGCACAGGCCAGCTTCCAGAGCGAAGCCCAGGGTGAGGAGAGGATCGAAAGGAGCCACAGAGAATACCCAGCACACCTACGTCCCTGAGGGGCTGGTGGGGGTTAGAATGAGACAATCATCGTAAGTGCCTGGCACAGCAAACGGTCCCTCACTACCTATCTGATCCGCTCTCTATCTCTATCTGGCATTTACTATCAAAAGGCCACAATATAACTTTTATTCTCAGGTGGCAACAGCCAGAATGAAAACAAAGGCATGTGCTCATATATACCCAAAGTGAAAAAACTGTTACAAAGTTGACAGATAACATTTATTAAAACATGTCATACAAAAGGGCATGGCCTCTTCTATAAGAAGAAAATATTAAACAGTAACATTCAGTTAAGTAAAACCATGCTGTACACTGAAGACAGCAATATATAAAGACAAAACTATTCAACTTTTGCAACACAGGCATAACATTTCACAAAATATCAATCAGATATGCACCTAGTGATAATCTGTTTATCGTCAAATGGTTTTGTGGTCTAGGAGTCACCTGACTTGCATAAATAACGTAATGTTCTGGAAGAAACATTGGGAACCTCATAAAGGGGAAGAAGGCAGCAGCAACTGACATTGTGACACAGGCTTCAAGCAAAACTAAGGGAAAAAAAAAAGTCACATTTGCAAAATGTGTTCCAGCATCTTCCCATAGAGCACACTATCAGTAGAAATCTGAAATAAGAAACAGGTACCTTTAAATATATAAGTAGCAAAGGAAAAACCCAAACAAACAAACCCTGGTTTCAATGAACAAAGTTAGTCACCCCTGAAAGCAACCTAAATCACAAAAGTAAGTGTGGCACAGTTGGGGGATGGGGGTGGGGGTGAGGGTGGGGTAAATGTTGCTTGGTTTCCAGCATTCCTAAATTATCAGAGACCTTATGAAAGCACACCTGGATTAGGTGTGATGGAGTCCTCTCCACCCTCAGTGACCAGGGGGCTGCAGCAAATCCCCTTCTCCAGGGAGGGCACAGCTCTGCAGCGTCTGCTCTGCCTCAACTTCACTTCCTGGCAGCTTGGGGGTGTGCGTGCCTCTGCAGGAAGGAGCCACTGAGGCTAAGCAGCTTTCCCAAAGAGCTAGAAGTCAGCTTAGGGGCCATTTAGTTTGGCAAACGCCCCCTAGAATGGAGGAGACTCTTCTAGGCAGGCTCTTTGAAAGTCGTGGCCAAGAGAAGAGGCTGGAGACAGGTGAGATGCAGAAATCAGAACCAGCAGGGCTGGGGCCCAGGAAGGACACCTGAGGGAAGCCCTCGGCCCTGAGGAAAGGCTGTCGCAGGCCTTCCCTAGTTAGCCAGTGACACCTGCTTTACCAAGTGGATGACTGTAATGCGTGTACCTAAAATTAAAGGCTTGGTATAAGTACTAATATTAAATACCCTTGGCGGTGCCTTGAAGCCCTTTCCCATTGGAGAAAAACCACAGTTAAGACTCAAAGCAGAGGACAAACACCTTGGTTGTAGGCCATGGACATGATCCCTGAAAGACTGTTTGGAAAATGTTACCCCACAACTATCCAAACTTTGGAAGGATAAAGATTTTCTAAAGCTGTACTGAGGCTAAGGAGACAGACTATCTATCCAACCCAGGGTAGGCAGGGAGAAAAGGTAGCAATACAGTATGCTCTAACCCTAAAAAGCAGAGTTTATAAAAATTCACTTTTAATATCCAAACTAAGGCAATCCCCATCCCCTGCCTCTCTGAACATGGCCTGCATTTCAGGTGCCCAACCACCTCACAGGGTCTGGCTGACCTGATCAGCAACCCTAATTTTTACGGAAACCCCAACTCTCATAAAAAATTTAAAACAGCAGATGTGAGGAACTTACACTTAGTTCTACATTTAGTGGCTGATGTGCATATAAGGATTTCAGTAAAAGATATACCTCTCTTCACATGAAATAAATCCCAGCACAACTGACTGTTTCCAAGACTGCCACCCAAGGGCACCCACCAGTCCTGGCTGAACAAATGCGCATCATCATTACTTACGACAAGGGTGCTGCTGATTTCAGCACAACTGAAGGACCATGATTTTTCCTGACTATTTTCATTTTGCCTCTCGGACTCTTCTCCCCAAATGTCCCAATGCTCATTTGAATATCATCTTTGATGGGAAACAGCACATCCAAACCTTCTAAACAGGCAGAAAATGGTTTGCTAATCCCATGGGAGAGGGTGGTCAGCTTTTGGCAGAACAAAATGGCTTTGCTGCCTTGGTACTGAAATTACTAGGAACAATAAAACAGTTTTTCCTCACACATCATGGCCGGTATCATACCTAAAAACCCAGTGGCTTCTGACATGAGAAAAAGGGGAGGAGCCACTGAGCTTGATTGTACAGTCACCTCTATACACTTCTGTCAGGTACACAGAGAAGGGAGTGTTAACTGGTGAATTTTCAATGCTAAGAGGATACTCATGTGGCGAACAACCAAGAGGTAACATCTAGTTTCTAGGTTATAAAAAGCAATATATATATAGATATATTTATAATAAAGTTTTAAATACAAAGTGCTTTTTTATATCGAGAATGATACAGTGTTAATGAATAGATCCCTGTTTTGTAACCTTGATTACAAGAGTTAACTGGTAGGTCAGTCCTTTTCCCTTTCCAGACAACATTCAACAAGTCAACACCTTGGTGGTTGGAGGTTGTGGACCAGGGGCCATTGCCAGCAATGTCTATCCCATTAGAGCAACACCACACTTTTAACACAAAATGTCATCCCAAATCCAAGAAGTTATTTTTATTTTAAGGAAGAAAAGTTTCCACTCCGAGTTAAGAGAGCAGTGAGTTCCTGGGAAAGTTGACATGAGAGCGGCACCCCATCCTACCCTGGGGTAACGTCAGGTATCTCGCACAGCTTCAAGCATCCTGAATACAAGCTTGCTTTTTACCGTAAAACACCTGACTGATTGGCAGACAAGGTCTCGGAATAGCTGCTTATCTTGTTGTTTTTGCTATGGATGGCTATGAGGACTTGTGAGTTTATGCAGCTTGATCTGTAATTCGGGAGCATGAATCTGTAGACGACTTTCTAAAATGAGAACTCCTTCCCCCCCTTTTAAAACACATCCCAGCGCTCCTAAGGAACTGGCAGTGTCAGCTCAGTACATGCCTCTGAAAGACTACCGCCCCTACCAGTGTATTTTCCAGGCTCCTCTTTTCTCGGGCAGTCTTTTTCCCCCGTCAAGTGTAACCTGCCACTCAAAATTATGCTATGCGGCAACTCTCACTCCGACACTTGCAGTGTCATTGTAGCACTCTAGTAACTCCTGAAGTTCACAGGTAACGCTCAGCGGTGACTTCTGGCTCCTTCTCACTAACCGTGGTCACTGACACCTCTTTGGGAAGCACCATAATCTAAAAGAGCAAAACGGCTACAGCAGCCAGTGGTACCGTGGTCAGTCACAGCAGGCTAGGCGTCTGCCAGCCATAGAGCAGGTGCCACTGCGTAGATGCTACAGTGAAACCAAGAGGATTCGGGACAGCAAACCAGTTAGGAATACCTATCTCTGGCACGCTAGAGAATTATAATTAGATACAATTGTTCAAACTAAACGTTATTATTAAAATACAAAACTTTGCCTTATCAAGAGTCTGAAACACATTGTGACAGTGGCATCTTACAGAAATGGAAGCTTGTACCATAAGTTGGTTTATACTTAGAATGTCGCCCTCTTAGTCTCGCCATAGTTTGAAGTAAAATACTCTTTAGAAAGAATAAAACCAGACAAGAGAGCTCTGTTAATCAATGTCGTATCCTAGGAATCACATTTGTAGCTTTTACAGAAGTAGCATTTCATTCATTGAAGCAGCTACCCAAACAAATCCACATTACCTAAGTATCTATAGTAAGAGCAAAATAAAATTCCAACGTGACCTTGTAATCATGAGCGATCAAAGGCTGCCGCCACCTGGAATGGAACTGGTGGGCTGAAGTCCAGTTCCAGGTGCAGACATCTCCATCACCAGCTCTACCGGCCTCAATCACAACGGGCCTAAAGGTTTCCCTTGCCGGCTGGGAGGTGGGTTACCTTACCCCCGTGACCTATGCCAGGCCCGGACTGGAACATCCAAATCTGAAGAATTAGATTTTTTAATTGGCCTACTTAGAACTGGTCTTTCGGAAATATCTTCCTTTTTTTTTTTTTTAAGCTTCTCTCATAATAGCAAGTAGCACATATCATCTGTGCCCAGATTTGCATAATTACCATAGTTTATTTTTGTGCCTGCCACTCAAGGGCCAGATCCTATTTTTAGTTAGCCTCAGTCGTATTCTGCTCAGCCTTTGCAGCTTCATAAGACTTGGTACAAGAAGTCACATGCCTGTGGAAACTGTCCCTCCACATAAATCTCTTTGCACAGATATTACACTCGTATGGCTTTATGCCTGTGTGAATTTTCATGTGGCCCACGAGATGGTGCTTCATTTTGAATTTCTTACCGCAGACACCACAGCCATAAGGCCGGAGGCCGAGGTGCATGCTCATGTGTCGGTCTCGCTGGCTCTTGTGAGTGAAACTTTTCCCACACTGACAAGGATACAGCTTGTCGGTGGCTGAGAATCCTAAGTGGGAAGCTTCTTCTTTAATCCCTGCTACCATGTCAATATTCTCACTGTAGCCCGCTGTGAGGGCAGCCTCCTGCCTGTGTCCAATCAGATTCCCATCCGACCGCTCTCCAGAAAACTCCTCCATGGAAGAGCCATAGAAATCCACCTGCTCGTCATAGTTGCTCTCATCAGCCTGCTCATCAAACTCGGCCTCCACTTTTTTTTCCCCAATGTGAAAGTCCTCCTCAACTCCCGAGGGCTGGACTGAGTGCTCCGTCTGCATGGTGTTGATGGACTCGGTGACCTGGTGCTCATCGTAGGGGGCGTGCACGTCCATGCCCTCGCACGCCTGTTCGAAGCGCTCGGGCTTCACGTGAATCCAGCGTTTGTGGGCCATTATGCTGGGCTTGCTGTACATGGGCCGGGTGTAGTGGAATTCGGCACTGTCACTGGCCCCCTCCTCCCCATCCTGGCTCGCCATTTCAGTGCTCAGCCGGTCGTGCTCGGTGGACGAGTTGCTGGGGAGGTATTCATGCTCGGTGAGCTGCGACGACAGCTCGTCTTTGGTGCTCTCCTCCTCGTTCTCTCCATCTCTCAGTTCCTGGGATTTGGGGAAATCAGCATGGCCCCCCGAGCCCAGCTCAAAGCTTTCTACCAGGCCATTGTAACTACTGCTGCTTGGAGACTGGTGGTCACTGCTGTGATTTAGCTTCTGACAAAGGACTGTAGGGTTTCCCTCTAAAACCTCGGTGCATTTGTCCACCACGTGCCACATCTGGAGGAAGCTTGCTGCTGTTAAGTAACTAACGATCTCTGGAGCAGGCATTACTAGGCGTCCCGTATAGCTAGACAGGAGAATGTTCTCAAACACCCTCGGGTTCATCACGTCAGGCAACACGATCCTCCTGCTGTTTTTCAGGAGTACCTGGTCACAAAAGTAGGGCGAACTGGCAGCAAGAACGGCTTTGTGTGCCCGGAAAATGTGGCCCTGCACCACAATGGAGACATCACATAGCTGTCCTTGCTGGCGCTGCTGGTTCAGTTTCTGCAGAATGGTGCTGGAAAAATCAGGAAATTCGACTCGAAAAGAGTTTGTTCCAGGCTCCATTTCATCACAAATCTTGTTCAGTGCTACAAGAGAAAGAAAAATTAGGTCGAATTCCAGCCCAAAGAGAAACTCATTGATCACTAAGCACAGAGACAGGTTCCATGATTCTATAATGTCCCCTGGTCTGTGGGCACCAGTGGGAGGGGCCAGGGTTGCAGGCATGAGCGAGCCCAAAGCAGGAACCACCCACCACTCTTCATGGCATTAACTGTTGATTTTGCCTGTGTCTGTGAATGAGAGAATAGAATCCAGAGAGATTAGATTTGCGAACCAAATAAATCGCCCAAGTACAACAAAGTAAACATTTCTAGTCAAAACAAACATGGTATGTACAAAAATGATATTATTTTCGAGAGGCCTCAGATGCAACCCAAATTTCCAAGCTGGGCTGTGGAAGAAAGTGAGGATGGAAGAAAGTGGAGCAGAAGGCTGAGGCAGGAGCGACTGAAAGGAGACCTCTAGGCTAGGATCCAGTGAGGGGCAAGGGGCAAGGGGGATGCGCCCGAACAATCGTGCCTTTGGTCCCTGAGCACCACAGGGATAAACTCGCAGAGACCCCAAACAATGTGAGTTGCTCTAGTTGCCATCAGAATTTTGGCCCTTTAGGAGCTTCTGGTAACGTGAAACAAATGAAATGGCAAGGCAAGATATTCCTTCTAGCTGGTGGTCTTCAAATTGTTTAAAAAGCTACAGACCAAAGAGGATAGTAAGTATCGTCTCTGATACTAAATGAATTCAATCTGAAGATGAAGTTGTAACAAAGAATAAGGGGTTAGCTGTGTTGTTACTGTACATCTATTTTGTGGGGTAAGTCAAGCATTAGGGACAATTTCTAACAAAGGCAATCAACAACATGAACCTTATAAGGGCTTCTGCTCATGCCCCATAATTCCCCAGTAAATTCAAACAAACCGGAAAATCCAATAGGTTTATCAGAGCTATTTGTCACCTGGCTGTAATCTACATCTAAACATTGCTAAATACCAGGAGTGTGATAAAGGAACCAGACAACCCAAACAAAGATTGCAAGTCATCTTTGGGATAGGGAGAGCGCCCAAGAGAAGCAGCTAATATTTCTCAAGTAATGACTATTACCAGGGGCTGTATGTATACCTTGTTTCACTTGTTCTTTACAATGACTCTGCAAATGTAGGTATTGATAGTCTCAAGATCAGCTATTTCAATGAACTTTCCCAAGATTAAAATAAAAGCTACTTTTTATTAAGTTGGGATTTGAATCTAGGGTTCCATGATTCTAAAGCCTATGCTATTTTTCCTGACACATCATTCTGTCTCATCTAAGAGGCCAAAATACCAGAATACTCATGAATAATTTCAAGAAGACAGAGTTTTTAGAATGAAGTATTAGCTTATGGTTTATACCTCTTAAAACATTTTATCATAATTTAAAACAAACAAAACATAGACCAGGAAACAAATTCAGTATTTGCAGTTTCTAAAAGGAAAAGTTAACTATGTAAATGTGTAGACTAGAGGTATGTAAATTCTGAGAACTGCATCTGGGTAAACATTCTCTGCTAGATCTCATCATTGCAGAATTTGTTTTTAGCTATGCTAAAAAAAAAAATGCGAAGAGGAACTACCGTATTGCCTCATGTATAAGACGCTCCCAAGTATAAGACGCACCTTAATTTTGGGGCCCGAAATTTGAAAAAAAATGTATTACATAAAGTTATTGAACTCAAGTTTTATTCATCATAAAATTCATACAACTCCTCATCACTGTCAAATGCAAGTAAAATAATCTACAACCACTGTATAAGACGCACCCAGTTTTTAGACCCCTAATTTTTTGGAAAAGGGTGCGTCTTATACATGGGGAAATACGGTAATTACACACATGTAAAAAAACTCACAGAAAGCTGTAAAATCTCTCCACTATTTATTCCTAGTGTGTCCCCCCCAACGGAAATCACCATTAACAATCTCCTGTATATTTTCTAGAAACATTTTTGTGCAGATAGCAGAATAAATCATACATACTCCTTAAAACTCCCTACCTAAATAGGTTTATTAACAGCATTTTATTCTGCGCTTAGCTTTTATCACTTAATGTATCTTGCAGATCTTCCGATATACTATACACTGATTTTTTTCCCCCAAAAAAATTCATGTTGAAACCTATTCCCCCAATGTGATTTGGAGGTGGGGCCTTTGGGAGGTACTGAGGTCTTGAGGGCAGAGCCCTTATAAATGGGACACCTCATAAAAGAGACACCAGAGAATTCCCTGTGCAGACGGCGAGAAGACAGCTATCTATGGAATGGGGAGCAGTGCCCTCACCAGACATTGAATCTGCTAGTACCTTGACCTTGGACTTCCCAGCCTCCAGAACTCTGAGGAATAAATTTCTGTTTATAAGCCACAGTCTACAGTATTTTGTTATAGTAGCTCAAATGGACTAAGACACCACATTAGTACAAAAAGAGCAAACTCATTCTGTTTAATGGCTATATAGCTTTAGCTTCCTGCTATATGGATTCATCATAATTTAAGCAGTTTTCTTCTTACAGAATTTTAATTGTCCAGGTTTTTGAAATTATGAGCAAATACTGGACATCTGTGCATAACAATCTTGGCAAATCTCTGGAAATATCTATAGGTTAACCTCTACCAGTGAATTACTGGGTCAAAGGGCTGTGCATTTGACATTTTGATATATGTTACCAAACTACTTTCTAGAAAGGTTGCAGCAAGTCACACTCCTACCAACAGTAATAATGACAGTGCCTATACCCCCACATTCTCACCAACATTGGATGTTATCAAATAGGAAAAAAAAGTCTGCAAAACTCCAAAGTGAATTATCCATGATTCAACTGTAGTTTTCATCAACATTTCTTTAATTTTGAATGAGATACTCTTTACTCATATTTACTGGTCATTTGTTTTTCCTATAAATTATCAGTCATCCTTTGCTCAAATAAATTGGGTAATTCATCTTATTGATTTGTAGCTTTTTTGTAAATTCAGGAAATTAACTTTTAAATTTATGTAAATTACCCAATCTTCACTTTTATGGCTCCAGGGCTTTGTGTTAGACATAGAAAGGCATTCATGACTCCAAGGTTATTTTCAAAAAGTAAAAAGAATTATTTAGGTTTTTTTTCTAAAGCATTTAAACCTTTAACATACAAAGAGTTTATTTTGTCATAAGGAGTAAGATTGAGATCCAGCATTTTTCCCTCCAAAATGGCTAGCCTATTTTTCCAACACTATTTATTGAATATCCATCTTTTCCTCGAGATTTCAAATATCTGTTGTAGAATTTTAAATGACTGAGAATAAAACTTTTAAAAAGTTCTACAGGGCCGGCTGAGTGGCTCAGTTGGTTAAGAGCTCGCTCAAGAGTTTGAGCTCTGAGCAACAGTGGTTCGAGTCAGCCCAAGCTGAGCAGCCGTGAGCTGCCAACAGGTGGCGGGATGGCTCAGCTAAAAAAAAAAAAAAAAAAAAAAAGTTCTACAAAAATAAATGCCATAAGTGATATTACAGAAAATGCTGGAGTAGCACTCTAGAGGTCAGGCCCTCCACCAAAACAAACAGTAAGCTATTACAATAAAACAATCAGAATCAACTATTTTAGAACTCTGGAATCTGATCAGACACTATAGAGGAGAGAGACTGCTAAAAGTTGCTCAGAAAGCAGCGTGCCCAAACCAGCTACAACCTCCATTCCTTGGCCCTGCCACAGCCTGTGGGACATTGGCCCACATTCCTACAGTGGGTGGCTGATGTCATGGTGGACAAGGACCATGTTCTCCAAAAATTGGAGGTTTGCATCCTGGCCAAGCTGGCAGACCCACGTAACTTTGTTTTGCCCCCTTCAGGTTGCAATGGCTTCCCCAGTAGCATGTATCATAAGGCTTTAGAAGACAAACACATGTTCCCCCGTTCCCCTGGTCAAAGCATTTAAGGAAATCTCTGTCAGGTCATAGCCTAACCACACAGATAATGCAACAGAAACTTCAGTGACTACATACAACAAGGAATACTACAGACTTTGCAAAATAGTTTGGAAAAATTACCATACAAACAGGCAACTTTAGCCCTCAACAAGTAACAAAAGAAATCTCCCAGGAGGGGAAGAATCTGATTTTAAGAGTTACCACATTAGAATACTCAAAATGTTCCAGTTCTTAACCAAAATTACAAAGTATAAAAAAGAAAAAATGGTGCATTCACAGGGGAAAAAAAAATTAGAAACCATCACTGAGGAATTCCAGACATTGGAATTACTAGTCAAAAATATTAAATCAACTGTCTTGTATATGCTCAAATTGCTAAAAACAAACAAACAAAACCCACCCTTATGTGACACAGAACTAATGGAAGTCAGGAGAAGAGTGTTGATGAAGAGTTAGAAATTATAAAAAGAAACCAAGGAGAAATTCTGGAGCTAAAAAAGTTCAATAGCTGTGTTATGAGTTGACTTGTATCCCCATACCCCACCCCCCATTCACATGTTAAAGCCCTACACGACCAGTACCCCAGAATGTGACTATATTTGGATATAAGGCCTTAAAGAGGTAATTCAGTTAAAATGGGGCCGTTAGGCTGGGCCTTAATCTAATCTGACTAGTGTTTTTGTAAGAAATGAAATTTGGATACATAGCCGTTCGAGGTGTGTGCAATGTGAAGACACAGTGAAGAACTGGCAATCGGCAAGCCAAGGAGAAGTTCTCAGGAGAAAGCAAATCTTCCAACATCATGATCTCAGACTTCCAGCCTAGAGACTTGTGGGGGAAAAAAAAAATTCTGTTATTTAAGTCACCTAGCCTGTGATGTTTTATTATGGCAGACCTAGAAAACAAATACAAGTAGAAAAGGAGTTCAATGGCTGATTTAAAGCAGGCAAAAGGGGGAGAAATGAGCAAACTCAAAGATAAAGCAAGTGAAATTATCCAGTCCGAGGAGTAGAAAGGATGAAGAAAAATGAATACAATCTGAGGTACCTGTGGAACACCATCAAATGTACCAACATGCACAGAAAGGCGAGAAAGGT